GCGGGGGGGGTTGTACTGTACCTATATAACAAATTCACAGTCAATGGTTGGGCCACCCTATCATATAAATAGTAAAACTGAATAATACCTGGTCAATTTTCACTGCCGTAGTATTGGAATCAGTGGGCAGATTGGATCTCTCAAGGTAAAATGTCCTGCAGTTAGACATTAAGAATTGGATTATCTCATTTCAGGCACACATACATGCATCACTACCTACTACATACTACATGCCATCTCTGATTGTCTTGGAAAGAGAACTGCTGTCAATAAAAATGATGTTTCTTATTGAGGCCCTGAATTATTTGTTTTTATAGCAACTGAGTTTAAACACAACATTTTATCTCCAGTCAAAAATCTGAACTCCAATTAGATGGAAATTGCTTCTGGCACAGTCCAGTAATCCAGAAGGACTTTAAGCCTTCCTCTCCCCCCCACCAAATAATTTAACGGGTTTCCAACCAAAAATGAAACCCCCTCCCACTTCATTTCTAAGAAGAAAAAATATATAAAACAAAAAAAGGAATATCTCTTTTGCCAAAAATCTCCTTTACTCCAAAGACTCCCTGGACGTGTCTGCACGTGCCTATTAATGCACAGCAATAAGCTCTGGAGTTTATTGCTCTGGAGCTAATTACTGCCAAGCATGCATCTGTACATGCATCTGCCAGGTAGACATCTGCATGTGCACCCAGCACATTGAGCCAGGGTGGAAGAGCTCCAGCTGGCAGGGAGCCCTGGGGATCAGTCTGCCAGCCTAAGGCTGCTCCTCCCAGCTCTGCATGCTGCAGAGAGGCTGGCTAGGGCATGAGGGTGCTTCAGCACAGGGCTAGCTGGCAGGCAGCATCTGCAGTGAAGCACCCTCATGCCCCAGCCAGCCCCTCCAGTGTGTCTACATGTACACAGCTGTGGAGTTTTTTTACTTGTATTTGCAAGTACTTATATTTACAAGTACTATCCTGCTGCAGAGTAAAAAATTAGACTAATTAGCTGCACAGTAAATATCTACACATGCACCCCTATTAGGCTTGAGTAAATCAATTTACTCCACAGCAGGTTAGTACTTGTAAATACAAATATACAAATACTGTTCTACTTCAGAGTAAATTAGTTTACTTTAGCCTAATAGGGGCACACGTATAGACACTGAGACATTTACTGCACAGCTGTATCGCACAGTAAATATCTCGTGTAGACGTGCCCACTGTGTACTAGATGTGGAAATACCGGCAAAGAAAAATGTAACCTATGCAGTTTAAATGTTCTTAGTAAGCAGCACCCTTTTAGTGTTTTTCCTGGGAAGGGAACATGAGATACCTGAGTTTACGGTAGTACTGTTGCACTTTTTCAAGTGAGGTGCCATTAACCTGCTGCTGAAGTTCTTCTACAGACAAGCCTCCTAGTTGTAAATGGCTCTCCAGGCTTTCAAGAGCTGCAAAAATAAAGGGTTTTTTTTTTCCCATTTTTTAGCGTTTTTGTTTTGTTTTTCTATTTGGCTATTTGTCTTTCGTATCCTTCTTTCAGGACATGGCTGTCAATTCACATTAGATACCAAGCTTGTATAAAGCAAAACTAAATGCTTGTATGCCCAGTGAAAGGTGTGTCTTTTAATGAACCATTTTGCTATTCTAAAAGGTCAGGGCTCCTATAGTACTGGATCACTGTAATATCCTAGTAGTAACTCTCCTAGACTAGATGCTACAATGCGGGACTGCGAGTCCTGTAGAGGTCCCTTCACTTACAGCCCAGACTCTATGAACCAACATAGCAGTATGTGCACACATGCTGCTTTAGCACTCTTGGTCTGTGGCCTAGGAATATGGGAATTTCCATGCTAGATTAGACAGGTCTCTTTAATCCAGCATCCCATCTGACAGTGACCTGGAGTTTCACTGAGCCTCACGAGAATTAACATCAGGCAGCTGTGGGGAATAATCAGGTTCCTCTGCATGGCTCATGTTAATCACTATATCCTATGAATTCCCCAAATATGTTAGAGTGGTTTCTCCTCAGCATGACAATTTCTAACCCTAACTTCTTTATGTTGTCAGTTTTGCTACAGTGACAACTCTAGGGTCATTCCTAGAGGGTCATTCAATAAACCCCCGGATATCGAGTAACTAGTTATATCTGCCATCACATTTGTCTTTATAAGGAGTCTCACAGGCACCTCTTGTAAAGAGCACTGCATGTAGCTTCAAGCTTGCCCCATTCTGGAACCGGGAAGGCAGTTTGGAGAAGTAGTAGCTGTCAAGGTACAAGATAACCTTCAAAGCCTGCCGACTTCCTTCAATGTGGTAGAAGATGTGAGTATCTGGAGAAACAAAGATGGGATGGTTGCTGTGTTACCAAAACAAGAACAATACCTCAGTGTACCATTTAAGAGCATTTCACCATGGAACATGAGAAAAATGGCACGGAAATTACTGGTTTTTAAGAGAAACAAGCAAAATACGGTTAGAAATGACTGATGTGATATTTATCAGCACTGATTATTCTTTTCCTCTGGTGTGTCTGCCTCGCCTATTAGATTGTAAACTCTTTGTAACGGTTCTCAGATGAAGCTATTTTGGGATAATCTGCTATTCTGTACTTGCACAGCCCTTAGCACAATGGGGTCCTATTCTTGTTTGCTTCCTAGACATTATTGTAATAAACACAGATTTATCATTTAAATCAACATGTTCCATGACAGCCAGTGTTGGATGAGTAGAGGTGGGAAACGCTTCGAATCACCATCAAATATTTGCCTGGGTCCTATTGTGATTAGTGACTAAAGTGTAACAGGAGTTACAGGCTTCATCAAGGTGCTTCCCACATTGCATGCACCTTCCAGCTAAATATATGAAAGTCCTTGGGGGAGGGGGTAATCACATAAAGAAGGCAGGCCGAACATTGGAACAAAAGGGGAATATCTTGGCCTCAGAGGTAAATCACTTTCAATACTGTCATGGAAACTGCCATAGGATCTTTGAAACCGCTTTGGTTTTTCAGGTCTTATTTAACTAATTATGCACAGAAATTATGGTGCTTAATATGCACCTTTGGAGGGATTAAAAAAAAAAACTAAGCAGATGCTGGTTTGATTTAAACCTGCAGTTATAGAGTCCACAAGGTCTCTATAACTGGATGCTTAACCAGACAGTATTTGACAAGAAATGCTTATCTAGCTGTCTGCTCTCAGTTTCTCTTGCATACATGCAGTATAAGGCCCAGCAGCAGGCAAGGGTCATGGCTGTGAAAATAAGGTCACCAGCAACATGCCTTTCCCTTCTGCTCCAGAAAAGAAGAAATCTGAGTGACACATTGGGGTGAGGTCTCAGCTCTCATTACATTCAATGCAAGTTAAGAAAATGCAGCTCATCATAGAAGGCATTCAGCAGATCCCAGGACTGAGCACTTCTCAGAGACTTAAAACTAGGCTGGAAACTAACCAGAAATGTAAGTAAAAAAGAAGAGCTTCATAGCAACTTAAAAGTCTCACTTGCTACAAGGCTTTCATCCAGCTGCTTGAAATAAAAGGCAACCTTGTCCAGCTCTGACAGGGTCACCTGGATGTCTTCCAGCATTGTGCGCTCCTCTTTCTGCAGAGAGGAGAAAGGGCTTATTTATTTCTATCTATGAAGCAGAGAAATACAGACATTAGAGGCATGAAGACGGGATGGTTCGAGGGACGGAGGATGAATTGCGAAGCCGGGCTAGGTGGAAGTGACAGAAGGCCGTTTTCACCTGACAACAGCATGAAGTCTGCTTTGGTTGCTTCCACCCCAATCTCAGTGGAGAGGGGTTCAGCTCCTAGAAGCCCCAGAAATACCAGTCTCGCTCCTGCAGCCTCAGTAAAGAGCTAAGGATTGAATAGGTCCTGGAGACCTGAACTGTATCCTACACCTGACTTTGGAAGCAGGCTTACTCCACAGCTCCCACTTGTTAGACCCAATTTCTGCCCCCAGTTTTACATTGCTTTTCAATTTATAATTATTAGTTTAGCTTGGTTGGTGGTATCAGTTGATGGCCTTTGCCTGAGAGTTTCCTACTCATAGTAGGCAAGTGGATTTTATAAGACCTGCTCCTTCAGTGAGGTGCTGCCAGGTCAGGCTTGAAACGCATGGTTAGGGCAGGTGAAAAAGCTTTTGATGCCACTCCCTGCACCAAACCCAGTTTTGTGACTGCTTTCAGCAAATACAGAAAGGCTCATATCTATACTTCACCCTTAGCTGCTGAAACAGGTGAGAACCACTTCTGGCTGCTTCTTGAAATGTATCTTCTGACCAGCAACCAGCAGAGGGCAACCCTCCCACATTACTAGTGAAGTCCACGGTAATCGAGCAGCGTTACTCCAGCTACTAAAACCAACACATAGTACCGCTCTATGACTTTTCTGCACATTAAATTTCAGCAGTAAAATGTGCTCCCCTGGCCAGGCCAGCAGTCTAGTGCTGGTGTGGGGCCAGCGCCTGATGGATGGGACACTCGGAGCAAGATGAAAGCAGGCCCTTTGCAGGCGTTGGGGATGGCTCCTCATGTAGATACAATAAGGAGCTCTGGCCAGGTGGTGGGTGGGAGGGAAGTATAGTTGGCTCGGGCAAAGACAAAAGGGGCAGAGCTAGGAAACCCAGCCACTTACCACTGTGGGGGACAGCAGGGACTGGTAGTTGAGCAAAACCCCAGTGGCTGCTATCTGCTCCAGCCACTTCTTGCTGGCATCCCTGCTGCTCTCCTCATACTCCCCATTGTTGTTGTATCTGTAGTTGAGAGCAGCCAGCAGCTGCTCGGAGAAAGTGCAAATTGCAGCCACGAGGGACTGGCAGAAAATGGCATCTCGTCGCAACTGCAGCTCCGTGTCTGCCAAGGAGAGAAGGGACAGAGGCGCAACCAAGTCAAGCAGATTTTGCCTTTCATCCACTGTGGAAGAGCCCACCTCCCTGTCTGACATTTGGCTTGTGCTGTAACCTGGCACCGATTTGGTGGAGAATCGCCTTCTGCTGTCTACGGGGCACAGAGTGCGTGTGTGCCTTAAGGACTTCCCTGTCCCCTAAATCCCTATCAACACCCCAGTCCCTGCACTCTCTTGTCCCCCCTTACTTTAATGATTTTCCTCAAAACAGGGCTGAAGAAGAGGAGGTGGCATCTCTACTTCCATCCTTGGCCTTTAGTGATTCCACTGCTCTAACCCATCTGCCTTTAAACCTTCCTCTTTGCTCAGGGCATTAAATGGTATCATGTAGTTCACATTTCCCTGGGCGAATCTCAGCAGTGTTAACTCTCTGCTTCCACTCAGCCTGCCCGTGAGTCATCCACTGGCTAAATAAATCCTGTCATGCTTAAGGGGATTGTAGCAAAGAGTGGCACATGAATAAATGAAGAGCTATTTTCAGCCACTCCCTGGTTTCTCTAGTATTCACTAGGGCTTCTCTTGTTCCCCCAGGAGTGTTTTTTTGGAGAGAGCAGCCAAGTATTTCACACAGAGGCTTTGAAGTTACTGATGATTTTTATAATGAAGCAGGAAAGGAACTAAGACAGAGAAGACTCAGGGCTGTATCTGTAGTCCAAGGCAAATCCTCCTTCCACTACTGATGGTGAAGCAAAAAAAGTTTAAAGTTATTCTAAAGGCAAGAGAACCCTTCAGTGAAGTAAGGCCAATATAGCCAGTGTTGCCACCTGCTCCTCCTCATACGGGGGTTTGAAAATGCTGTTGAAGAGGGGTATAGTCAGAGATCTAAGGAATCGGGGTTCACAAAAACAGATTTTGTGGGTGCTCCACCTAACAACATGGGCTAGTTTAAATTAACGTGAACTAAAACATGACTCTGGGACATGGGAAAGTAGTGTAAAGCCACCTCTGTTTCCCACCTTCAGTCTATGGAGCTCAGAATCAAGGCCCAAATTATCAGCCTAAAACTTCCTTTAAAAATAATCATAAGCAAATGTTTCAGCTTGTTATTTTTTACTTAATACATCTTCAACAGACCCAGATAAACCAAATGTATGCTTAAATGTAGAAACCAAGTAACTGCACAAGTAAAATGGGAAGTCAGTCACCTGAAAATGTCAATCGCTTGCTTTTTTTTTGGCTAACACAGAGACTAGGCCTGTAATGTACCTAGATTCTAGCTTCAAATTTAGGGTCTTTTCCTGTTTTCCTGAAATAACACTGTTCCCCTTTGCTCATTGGCTTCAATGATAAGCCCATGTGGCTGTTGTTTGCACTGTAGAGATTTATGTGAGTTGGTTAAAAAGCAAAGCGCACCCTAAAAAACAGAGCAAACCCCTTACTCAAGGTCTGCTCAGGCTGTTGAGAAAGCATAGCAAATTTGAAAGTAAACTCTGCAATAGCTTCTCATTTTGCTGCCTCTCCCCACCACATTAGGAAGCAGCAGAGGTCACCTGGACTGAGGCTTACGAAGGGGGAAGATGATGAAAGGACAAAAGAAACGGTGCTCAAATGACATTAACAACTGAGCAGGTGGCACCACAGTGACCTATGTAAAGTCAAACCAAAACTGAGCTATGACATTATTAAGATATAAAGGGCTGCCCAGAACGAGTTCAAGAGACGACACAATGTCATCAGCAAGCCAGCTACACTTGATATGCGAAGATGACAATAGCTGGGTGATGGAAAAACTCAAATGCATGTGTGGGTGCAGACCTGCCAGCTCAGGACATCAGTAATGCTGACAACATTTTGCACAATGCACTAAATCAAAGGCCCTTACCTGTGCATTTTAGCAAGGCCAGAAGCAGTTGATTCTTCCCATCTAGAAAAGTAAAGACAAGAAAAGCCCAAATAAATACAATACCAAGCCCAAATAAAAACAATATGATTTGCACCCAACTAACAGCACCCCATTTCTGTTTAGCACAGACCATAATCTGCAGTCGCACACATGTTTGATACAACAGGAAGTGAAGCATAAATCAAGCCCTGTAATAGGTTAAATGCTACATCATCAATGCTACCAGGAATTACTGGGGAAAAATGTGTGCATGTGGAAGAGTACTTATGAAAATGACCTCTGACCAGGGCCTTTAATTTGAGAGTTAGATCTGTTCAGACTCAATCAGCCTATTTCAATTCTACCAGTGTTTTAGTCTGAAGCAACGGTCGCAATGGTTCAGATATTACAACAGCTAATTAAATCCATCACCTTCACTCCATTCATTTCAGGTTCTGCCTCTCCCTCATTTTCATTTGCTTTAAATGTTTTTAAAGAGGACCAAGGCAAGCTGATCGGCCTGACAACTTTCTGTCCAGACAGACTAACCAAGCAGAGTACAAGAGACAGAAAATTTCCTTGTGATCATGCACTCCAAAGCAGCGGTGCTGCAAAATATCATCACTGATCCCACTACAGAACCTACCAACCACCTGCTCGCTTCACTCCCCTCTCAAGTCCCAGTAACCAAGAGGTGATTTTTCAAATAACCTCATTAGACTTATGTGACAAAAGGAGGTTTACCCTTTTAACCCTGAAACTGAGGGTCCAGTTTCTCTCCCCGCCCATTCTCCCATTTCACAGACCTTCCACATGTTTTTGTATCGTTTCAACAAGGTTCTTGATGCACTGTGGAAGGTTCCAGGGATCTTCTTGGATGCTGACTTGGATATTATTCCGACACTTCATTGTTGTTTCTTCCTTCTGTTTAAACTCTGTAACAAAATAGAGTCTAGGTCCAGCAGCGGAAAGTGCTACAAAGCTCAGAGTTGCACATTAGCTATGTTACCTGCATACAGGTTCAATCAACTGAATACAAATATAATATATAACACCCACCAGCGAGGGAGGTAAATGACTAATTCCTATAGCCATATAACAAGCAGTCCCAGCTGATTATATGCGAAGTACCGTGGTCCAAGAGGTATGCACACAGTTCATATGCACAATACACGGGAACTGTGTGCTAAATTCCTTCTGCAGTATGTTACAATTGTATCTTGAGAACCAAAGTTGCAGTGAAAGGGCACCGTTCCTTTTTGTAATCTCTGTTTATTATAATGGGCAGCCAGATACATCTGTGCCCCTTATGTCCTCTTCTGGATGGTAGTAGACCAACACTGTAATGCTGACTGTCACAATCCCTTGCAGCTTCATGGAAGTTACGAGCTAGTTTGCCAGATAGAAGCCTAACTTAACTGAAGAGGATGAGTTCTGTTGCTCGTGATGCAGTTATTCAATTTAGCAAAACTGCCTGAACTTACTGATAAAACATATGGCCACAAGCATACATTGGCAATGCGTAGGTGCACGTGCACCCCACAGATTGGCGGTGCACCCCCTGACAGAAGCGCTGCCAATGGCATCTGCAGGCAGTCGCTGCTCGCCATCCTCCCCACGCTCACCACCGACAGTGTCTGCGGGTGGTTACTGACCATTGGTTGGCAATTGCCACCCTCCTAGCCACCCCCTATACCACTGCCATAGCCATCTGCAGGAGCTCCCCACTCGCCGCCGCCACTGCCCCCCCAGCCTCTGGGGGCATGTGTCATTCATGCACACATACATATATGGCATGTCTACATGCATACATACATACATTGGTGGTGCACCATGGCAGTGTAGACTACATTGGGCACTACTGTACAGTCATTACTGTGCATTTGTTTAGCACTTGTATTAGCAAGTGCTAAATAAATGCACAGTGACCACAGTTACTGCGCAGTAGTGCTGGAGAACGTCTTTTAGGTGACACTACTGCACAGTAGCCGAATACTACTGTGTAGCAGTGTATTAGCACTGTCTGTACTGTGAGTGTCTTTGTAAGAGATGAGTGTGTTTTGAATTAAACAAACAAACTTAATACTATAAGAAAAATTATGCAGGGTGGCTGCCTTTTCCTCACTGCATTCAAAGAGTGTGTGCAAGGCCAAACATGTTTCTACATTTGTTAAGTGTAACATGAACACAGCTTTTCCAAACGCTTCTGAAGCCTTCACAAAAAACATCTGTTGTCTCTGTAAAAGTGACATGTGCTGCTTCTAATATGGCTGATGTTTTTTGGGAGGAAAAGCAAAACCAAATGAGACCGCAGCACTTGAAGTGCAGAAAAGATAATAAAAGTTTTCAAGTTTCAAGAGGGGAAGGAAGGACAGCAAAAGTTCAGGAAATAATAAAGTTCTATCTCAGAAGGGAAGAAACTGCATCCAGGGCCCTAAACCCCCAAGACCAAAGTCCCATCTTCCTCTTTTAGGACAAGAAACACAGTATTGTTTGCTTGCTCACCATGAAATCCAGTTACTCGGGTGTCTAAATGAGCATTTGTCATTTGAGGATGAGTTTATGCTGGCAACTACCCATCCCTTGAAAGAAGCAGAGTAATTCCTTAAGCAGGCTCATGCAGGCCTTGTTGGTACCACTTCTGGCTCCAGTAGCTGAGACTGTATCAGCTTAGCAGAATGCCCCTTTCCTGTGAGTCTGACCCATCCCTGTTTCATGTCTTCTAAGATGTATACCTCTGTACTGCATCATACAGAGGAGTTGGGGCACTTAACAAAATCTCTGGGCCATTCAGAAGCATGTTGCAGGGAAGTGCTGCACTGTGCCCAATGTGAAAATGATCAGTGAACAGTAAACCACACCAATGGTCACCCATGTTTGTGTCCCATTATTGTGACATCTAACTCACTAAAGTATGGACTAAATTAGTCCCATTATTATAACTACATATAAAGTTTTGGTAACTGTGCAAGTAAATTATGTGTGCTGATTTGCCGCTTGCACATGCTGATGTCTGAACTTCTGTCCCAGAAAGATAAGATTTCTCTGTGTCCTGGGAAATTACTATAATCAGTATAACCAACCCTGTTTTGTTTACCTTGCAAACCATGATCCATTGGAAAGTGCCTGGTTTCTTCAAAGGCCTTTGTTATCACTGGTCCTTTGAGGAGTGCATTGATAGCATCAACCTGCAGTAGGAATTTTTGGTTGGTCAGTGCCACTTACAGAAGACGTTTTGCACAGGTCATTCATGGAAAAGTGCTGAAGCAATAACATTTGCTGTATTTTTTTTAACTAACTTAGAATAACTGAGCTGGATGCTTCCACACTATTGTCCATATCTGCTAATCTTAATGGAATCTTACCCATAGCAAATAAAATTAAACTATCCAACTCTTCCCACCTGCCTGATCCTACATATGGGTTAGGCAACATGCGCAGAAGAGTAATGGTCTAGTGCTGGGAGACTAAGGGGGATAGAAAAGAGTAAAGGGGTTAAACAATATAATTCAATGTATAAATTCCATAAAGACGTGCCTTGGTTACATTCTTTTCCAGAGTTCCATACATGAGACCCATTTTGGTCATTCTTATTAGAACAAAAAATTGCTTTTTTGTGATTTTTCCCAAACTTTTTGTGATGACTCTGAAACTGCAGAACAACCCTGTCTCAATCACAAGGTGACCTGAAGGTTGGTTGAGATAAAACTGCTTCCTCAAACTCTCCCATACACAGTTCTCCATATCTCATTCCACATCCTTGACAGATTGGTTTCCTCCAACACTTGGTGCGTGGGTCTCAGATAGCTAATAGCTAGCACATGTACCTGGTTAAAAAGATGTTCAAGACAACCATGCAGCTTGTCCTGTTTGTCTGAAGGAATCCTCATGTCATTGGGAAGCTCGTCACCTAATTAAAAGAACGACAGATGGTTTCTATAAATCATGTAACGGCTTCAGACTTCTCGCATTTTTGTGATGTGGTTACAGCCAGACCAAAGAAGGGGGGAAATCCCTTGTGACAAGAGTTTAACTGTAAAGAATAGTAGTCGTCACTGTGGCCGTTCTGTTCCAGTAACAGAGCAGCGAAACAGCTCTGGTCCATAGACCATAATCATTGTGACCTTCAGGACGTGCAAGTAACCTGTTTGCAAAGGGCCTCTAGCTTATTTTCTCCACCACACCCCTTGATTTCAGTGGTACACTGAGAAAATGACAGACCTCTCGCTCTTTCATTATCGTGGGATTTAGTTTGGTGCTTTTACAAAACCATTTTTCCAGCAGCACATCCAAGAAATCACAACCAGCAGAGCCACACGGATGCACGGCCTTATGTGGTCTCTGATACTGGACAGCCTCTTATATATTCCTCCGGCACACACTCACCCGATCCCATCTCATCGCTGCCGAGGTAAGAGCTGTTGCTCCGTACGCTGGTGTAGGACAGCACCGAGTCCCGATTACTGTTACACTCACTGGAAAGAGAAGGAAATTGCCTCATAAACTGGCCTTACCCTGGGCATTTACTCAGGTTTTTTTTCAAAATCTACTCCACATACCCTAAGAAAAAAATCCTTTAGTCATTAATAGGGATGTTAATATTAATACCCAAGTCAGGGCTGAATGAATAATTCAGTTCCAAGGATCTTGGTGAAGCTTTGATTTGTGAGCAAGTCCGTTACAAAGAATGAAGACAGATTTGCCCACAGGGTTTCTCGTTACACTCAGGGCACAGGGGGCCACTGCCGATGGGGAAGCCCTACTATATAATGATTCAATCTCCCTGATCCTGATGGAAACGACGCAGATCTCAGTCATCCTTCTCCAGCATAAGCTAATGCTACCGAGGCACAGCTGTTAAGGATGGATAAGAGGAGTGTAGGTACCCTATATAAGTGGAAAAGCGGGCATTGTGGAGCATTATGCTGTCATGCTACTTTCCTGCCCTCCCATTTCTACACCTTCCCTGTCTCCTCACTGTGTCTCTAAGCTGAATAAAAATACTGCAAACCTAACCAGAAGGCTTCTGTTATTTTGGTAGTCTAAGAATGAAAATAGTCACCCTATCCCACTAAAGGCATCGGCGAAGCCTTGAGTAGCACGCTACACCTCTAGAAGTTCTCCATTAAAATCTAAAGGCTGATAGCAATACATCAGGCATCATTACTGCAACACAAATCCCTACAAACCCTTACAGGAGAAACACTATTTCAGACCTGTGGCTTCTAATAGTCAGTGAGAGAGGAATACAGCTAATGCAAACAAGGTATTTTCTTATCTGTAATGTTCTCGTTCTTTATAGATCCTCAGTATCCATTTTGTGGATCAGAAACTATCAAAATATGTTTGATTCCCCCTTGAGTACCTATTAGTTCAGTTCCGTGTACTTTAATTGTCTGCTTCTGTCTTGTAAAGATAGGACACAATAATCTTTTTCATCTTACATTTCTGTTAAAATTTTGGAGCAAATGACAGCCCAACAGAGACTTTGCCTTTGATCTCACTACATTCCTCAGAACAGATTAGGCTCAATTACAGAATCCTTTTAAACAAAACAGAGTTCAATAATGGGCTTTCTATTAAACGAAGAAGAAAATTCTTTGTATTGCATTAATATAGCGCCAAGGCACCTAGACAAGTTTTCATTTTAGGGTGGACAAATGCCTATTAGTGACAAGGCTAAACACACCAAAGTCATCCTACCTGGCACCTAGACCTCGGTGTGACCTAAGAGAGAGCATTTTTCTATGCATGTTAAAAATAAAGAAAAACAGTTGCAGAAGGAATATGAATATGAATGCTTGTGAATCAGACTTTAGAGTTGATGGCATCAGTGTTTTCAAATAAGAAAGAAAAAAGAAAATGGCACTTAAAATCAAATTGTTATGGTCTATTTTTCATTATTCATTAATACATGAACACAGCCAACATAGCCTGAGGCTTTCACATAAATGCGAACATTTGCCAGATTTTTTTAAAGTTTTGCATTATTTTTTTAATAAATTTTCGGCAGTCAAGGATGGTATCAGATTCACGCCACATTTTCCACTGCTGATGATGCAGTGAGCTTATTTACAAGCCATCTACGTGCTGAAAATGTACCACAGCACATAAAGAAGGAAGAGATCACATGGGGTAGCATGAGTGACTGGTGCCTCCTGAATCTGGGGGGGGCACCTGCAGAATCCGCCGATGGCGGCAGCCCTGGCAGGGGGGGCACCAGCCCTACCGACAGCATCAGTGTCAGCCGTCAAGGAGGGCACCAGCCCTTCAGGGGAGGCACGTGCACCCCCATGCACCCCCTACCAGTCGCCTATGTGGGCTAGTGAAGAATTCCAGATGCTCATCAAAAAAAGCTGTGTGATCAAATACAGTCAGGTCTTCTGCAGTCTAGAGTCAATGCTTAGGTATATCCGTAGAAATCTGGAAAAACGACTGGCTTCACTAGAAGACTTGCAATATCAGAATTTAGATCTTTGCTCCAGAATCAGGAGCAACCAAACATGACCTAGCTCTCATCTGGGGCCATCCATGGTCCGTCTCTGCTCCCGAGGGATTATTCCAACCCAAAACATTCAAACATGGGTTCTGATTCTTCACTGCTTTGCAACTTGGGCTTACACAGTCCAGATAGATGCAAGGCGGTGGGCAATCAGACTTGTAATGTGGAAGCTTCTGTGATGTGTGCCTAATTACTCTCATCACTGTAACTCTCTCTAGAGAAAGCGTCTTTGTTCCTTTGTGGAGGACCAAGCCCACAAATGCACGTTCTTCTCCATTAGAAAATGAAAGGGGCAACTTTTTTCATCTCTTCTCGGGCCTGCTTTTAATATGTCCTCTCCCATCACCAACGTCTTGTGGAGTGTGAGATTTCAGCAGCAAATATTCCAGGAGAAGCAGCAAGTCAGTCATGTCTCAAAAACACAATTTTGAGACACCTGAATAAATATTTGGGTTTGTGGTTTCAAAGACCCATTAAAATAAAAGGCTGGATGTCCATTTCTGTTTCTCAATATTCTAGGCTTCTGGGAAAATTGTTCACAGACTTGAATGGAAAAATCCTCATACAATAGCAGCTATTATAAGATCAAGCTGTCTGAAAACTGCTGAGCTTCTGTGGTTCACAGTTACATGGCACAGGAGGAGAAAGAGTCACACTAGACTTATTGATGCACAAAGAGAATTTAATTTTCTAAAAGTCTTGGTTTTGCGGGGTTGTTATGGGGAAGGAATTGTTGCTCTGCTTTATCTCCACGGTAATAAATGCTGTGAGATTTACAGCTGGATGTCTGCTGAATAAAGGCCTTTATTTTTACTACAAAATAAAGGACTAGCTTGGAAATACTGTTTTTATACATCATAAAATCCAAGCCCAGAAAAGCCAGCTCTAATCTGGAGCTGGGTTTACAGCTGGGCAAGGATTTTCAAAGGACACATGGGGGGTTGGTGCCTAACTTCTTCAGTTTGCACTGAAAATCCCGTTTGTGGTGGGCACTGCTGTGGTCCTCAAGAGGTGGGTAGCAGCACTAGCAATTATACTAGGCTGTGTGCCTGAGACCAGAAGCTAGTCCAGAGCGCTAGCACTGAAAGAAAATTCACCCTCTTTTAGTCTCTCCTGAAGATTTCAACTAAAACTTCCAAGAGTGGCCAGAGGCTATGCAGGACCCCATACAAGAAGGAATATTGGAGCCACTGCATCACCCCAAGATCATGAGAAACGCACCGCTTTAAGACCTGCTTCCATTAAGGACCTCTGCAGGGCCTGCGGGAACCCATGATAATAGGTCACCCCAGCTGGGGTTTGCATGTGCACCTTCTCCAGCTGGTTAGCACTGGGAATCTAGCAAAGTCTTGTTGGAAGATCATATATGTTAGTGGAGGATCATATGTTATGGTATTATTTAACACACCACACTTACAAGGGTATGGTCTTATAATGTTTCCAGGAAAACAAACTCCCACTGCCAGAATCATCCTTGGTGTAATTCTACCACTGCAAACAAAGATGCCAAGGGTAGATCTCTACCTCAGTGTTTGCCATGGAGAGTCGCATGGCAGCTGATCAGCCCATGGTGCGTAACCACCCAGAGAGTGGTTATCCTTTCAGCAGAGCATCATATGCATATTTACATCAAGACCCACAATGCAGTACATGCCTTTCCGTTCCTTCGTTTCTCATGTATTGGATGGGACCTAAAACCACAAAGCCCAGCACAGCTTCATTGCAATCCTCCTGGTGAGCTCTTCTGAGAATAGGCACCACATTAAAACAGTCTACCCTGGAAACCTCAGACTGATGCCTGCCCAGTTCAGTCACGCAAGAGAGAACCACTGGTGTAATTACTACCAAAGTCTAATCTTATTTTCTGTGGACAATGCATTTGAGGTGATAACTCTGAATCAGATACAAAAACTGCTGGTGGATCTAAGAAACAGGCTGGTTTGCCTGAAACCTAGGGTGAATTTCTCCAGCCCGTGCTCTGTCTGCTGCACTGGAGAACAGAGAGCTCTTCTTTGTGACCTTACATGACTATCTGATCTTTGGACCTCACAGTAAATGGATCCTGTGATAGCCTGTGACATGTGAACCATGTCCAATTGTTGAAGTTGTGAATCCTGTAGTGGATACACTTAAATGCAAGCCATATGAGCAGCAATTTGGGTTCATTTCTATGGTCGCTTACATCCAAAAGAGTCTGTCACGGGCTTCTCTGAGAACAGATTGAGATCTTGAGTATACAGGACTAGAGCCATTAATTACTGGATACATTTAATAAGCTCAAAATGACTTCACTGGAGTTTTGCCTGTATAAAGAGTCAAGTTTGTAGAATGCAGCCCAATGTTTGTACAGGGCGTTTACAGTACGAGCCAAATAAACGCATAATTTCTAATACTTAGTATTTGATTTCAACAGCGTTCATCTATGGATCAATACCTGATTTTTCTATTACTGAACCAGCCTCAAAGAGTGAGCCCCAATACGTAAATTAAATATCTTCAAAATACTGTGCGAGTGGGAAAACCTGTATATTTTTAAACATACCTGTAGGAGTCTCTGAAACTCATTGTGTCGTGTCCGGAGTCTTCTTGATCCTCCTCAGAAACTTTGAAACAAACCTTCTTCATGCCACTATGCTCAGCTTTGTCGGTGTCACTCTCCTCTGCCCCCAGAGAAGGCGGCGATGTCTCATCAGTGGATGGAGGTTCACATCCACTAGTTTCTGTAGGTTCTGTTATGGAGGACAAAAGCCTGAAAGATAAAATGCACCACTCAGTGTTGGGGTAAATGGCTGAATCATGCATCCATGACTGTGATCTCAACCTAACCACATCTAAAAATCAAAAGCAACATTTCTGTGATTTGAGCTGTATGTAAACTGAAGCTTATGTGAAGTCAGCACGTCTGATTTACAGGAGTTCATGAAAATCTTTCTGGGTTCTGAGTCATGTGATTTCACAATAGGTAAGTTTTGTATTTATACAAATCCTTTGATGCAACGTTTCACTTAGCTAAAAATTACCACGTCCTTGTTGAGGCAGGGTAAAAAAGCACTAAGTTGTCCCTAACTCACTCAAAAAACCCCAACAATTACCCATGTTCACCAATCTACAGCATCTAGTTAGAGCTACACTTTCCCTATTAAGCTTTCATTTTGAAAGTTTTCTATTACTTCAGATATGACCCTTCTCTAATGCAGTGATTTGATGAAAAATTAGCAACATGAGTTGTAGCTCATAAATGGAATAGGAAAAATATGCTGCAAAATATGGAGATGCTGGGCTCATGTAAAAGTGAAATTATTTGCTGAAATAAATTCTCCCATAGAAATAGTCTGCCTGACACCAAAACTAAATGAAATATCCCCTTGTCTGCATCCGTTCCCTAACTAACACATGGTGTTTTCATTAGACACTAACTGGCACTCCAAAAGCTACAGGGTATATATCATAAATCTGCCTGTCACTGGCTGAAAGAGGGTGGCTTTTAGTCCCTATTTACTAACTTGTTGAGGAGATTTTGTTCTGCTGATACTGGCTTGACTCTTGCAGATTTTTGCAAATGCCCTGTCTGCCAAGCTGTGATCATATTTATAGAGACTTCTTTCACTTGCCATACTAGCCTGACTCCAGCGGTTAAAACCCAGACAAATAGGGATAGAAGGCAAAGACTGAGCCTCGATGTTGTTCATCTGGGAATCAGAAAACATCCCCTGCTACCCAAGCAGGGTGGGTTCATCACAGTGCATAGCATCACACACGGTCAGGAGCTAAATTCACACAGCTGACACATAAGCCTTGCTCTACGTCACTGATTTCACTGCTTAGCATATCCCACCATCTTTACACTGTGCGAATGCCAGCCTCAGTATCTCTTCCACTTTCTACCTATGCTTTCATCACTGTGCCTTACTTATCCTAAAGTACCTTTTAATCCCAACTGGCCCAGCCAAAATCTCAGGGAAAGGGATTTTATTTATATGGCTCCAAGCCTGTTGCTGGAACTTAATATATAATAGGAATCTGAACCAAGATGGGCGAACTTTGGCTTTCCCTGGGTGCATCTACACGAGACGCTATGGCGCAGTACCAACAACAGTAATAACAGCGCAGTCCACTGCATGTGTAGATGTGGCCACTGACTTCTATTCAGTGGGTACAAAGAATGGCTATACTATCTCATTACACAGGTGGAGCTGACAAGCGTTTCAGGGATAGTTCAGCATGTGAGCAGGTCTGGCCTTTTCCATGCTGAGAGGCAGTGTAGGGAGCATATACATGTGTGCAACACACACAAACTATATAGAGTGTTTCACAATGTGTGCTGAAAACGCAGAATATTTTCAGATGTTTCATGCTCCAATTTTTCAGGAAGCCTCCCTTCTTTAGGGAGTGCTCTCTGAAACACACATACACAGGTTTCCTTACTCACTTATTTATCTGAAAAACATATTGCTTCATCTCCTTCACTGCAATGTCCAATCTGTTAAAAAGCTGCAGGTAAGAGTCTTGTATCTCCCGGTCTTCTTGTTTCAGCAGAAAGCTGAGTCCCCGTTCCTCCTGGCTTGCTCCCCCATTCTGTTGGCCAAAACCACCATCACATTGTCCATGGGGGTAGAAATCGTCATCTTCTGGGGTGACACATCTCCACGATGGTGCAGCCATGGTGGTGATGCAGTGTTGAGTATATAAGACTGGATTTAAGGTACCTGCTGAACATTGAAGGAACTAGTTAGTAGGCTCTGAAGTGCTGAACCCTTTCCCAATACTGCTGACTTCCACTCAAAGGAAGTCCCTGAGGAATGTAATAGGAAGTAAAGCAATAGGCTCACACAGAAATTTCTGTATAATACTCTACTTTTAGAGTATTATAGAGTGCCATAATACCCTACAAGTGTATAGCTTTTAATAAGAAAAAGTGGTATTCCCTATGGGACTTTTTTAACTACTTAGAAATTCTATGGCAAGCATACTTAGCTTTTTGAAGTAACTACAGTTTAGGATAAATTAGCTAACTAATAATGGCCCATCCACATCTGTGTGGCCATAATTTAAGCTTTGGCTCTATCTACTGCTTTCGCAGACCTGAAGAAGGGTATTTTTGTGCCTGACAGCTTCTAACATCTCTCTAGACTAAAAGATATTACAAAAGAAATCTCACTTCTTATCACAAAGCATTTTGTACATGCTAATGAATTCAGAAGCACAGCAAAACCAGTACTACTGAATGTTATTATTCTGGCTTTATGGAAACCAGTGAGAGGGAGAATAACTATCATTTTTGTGAGGAAAAGTGAAGAATATTTTCATTTGGAAAGTCTGGCAAGAAGAATGCCAAGAGCAGAACTAGAATGTGACTCTGTTTTGGGGAATAATTCTGCCAGCTCTCATGAAAAGTGCTGCAAAATCTTACACAGCTGCAAATGGGACATGGTATTTCTTGACCCCATTTGGAGAAGGTCACCCAGCCTTCCTTAAATTGGACAAATTAGGTTTGCAGAGATCTGTCACGAGCTCTCCTGAGTGCTCCTCTTGCTGGGCAATGATAGTGTCCAAAGTGCATTCGGTGAGATCATAAACATGGAATACTGCAACACAAATAGTTGCCTTTCTGGGCAAATACCATGTAGCAGCCGTATGTTAAGAGAAGACCATTCCAATAGCAAAGAACCTCCTGGCACCAATGTGTAGGATTACTCTATGAATAAAATTACCTCTGAAGTTACTTTAGTAGTAACTCTACCAAATCATATTGGCTATTTAAGATTTCCTGACCATTCTGGTTATGGTTTATCTGTACAGTGTAGCACCACTTAGCCGCGTTGCTTTTCTCGAAGTCAGTAAATCAAGTCTTCTAAATAGAAACAACATCCTAAGGATTTAGTCGCCATGTGATAATCCTGCTGTTTACCTGTTAAAAACACTTTGACCTAGGACCCCACTATGCGCCTGACACATTCTGTTGTTTAACACTAATCACACAGCCTGCGTGCCACCTTACTGTGCGCATTCTGCAGGACAAAAATTGTATCGCCAAGGTTGTTTGTCTTTGGGTCTGGACTCAAACTGAGGAGTAGGAAGGACAACTCATCTTTCATTAGATAACATCAGTGAGGCTCTAGGAGTTAATTAGCACCTTGTTCTGGATCAAGACCAATTATAGAGGGCTTCCGTCCAATGCGAATGCTGAACGACCTTCCTGCTGAGGTAGTGTTTTTGGGGTATGACACCTCCATGAGGTTAATGTGGCAGTTGGTAGGGCAGAAGTCCATGCTGCTGAGGGGGTGGGGCTCCATGATGGCTTGCTTGAAGGCTGGGCTCACCTTTGTTTTCAGTTCATCTGCAAACTGGGGAATTGAGAGAGCCTGCATGAGTCCATTTGCAAAAAACGATGGTTCAGTATAGATGCTTGCTTTCCCCAGACAGCCCCACTTTGCAACAGTCCTTTAAGCTCTGCCATCCCTGATGTAGCCACTCAAAAATGAGCTCTAAAGAGATATATAGAATTGTTTTAAAGTCTTCAGTGCCAAATTTTCAAACAATTCAGGTAACCAGACAGAAAGGAGGCTTAGCTTCTGTATATAATTCCTGTAACTGGGCAATCAAACGAGGCCCATGACAGCTCTCGGCTGTCTCGGCTACTCATTTCCATAGGCTGGCATACATTCTAGCCAATGGCAGCAGCAGTGTGATAGCAGCTTTATAAACAGGTCTCTACTCCATACTGCTTGTACTCTAAGCAACTCCCAGTCCTGTGTTCAGAGCACTACAACGTTTCCCTTCAAAGCAGTTAATGACGAATAAACACCCAGCACTGAACACTCAAGCATCTACTATTTTGATAGTTTAGTATTGTCCCAAGATACCACCAAGATCTAGGAGTACTGTACCTCTCGGTAGCTGGTGAACCTTCGGCTGATACTTTCCAGCTTAAAGTCACACATCTGCCGGAATTCATACTGGGGCATGGTAGCCACTGCATTGCTTAAGGAGATGAGCCTCTTGCAGTTCTTTACAAAATGATTGTCATCTGCAGCAAAGGCCTCTAAAATCTGCACAAGGAGACAGAATTCCAGTGGTGCAACCCTGAGAGCAAGGTACATTGCAAGATTCTTCTAGTGACTAAACAGTGGACACCCCCATGTCAGCATGTTTGAGGAAATGGCATGTAGACCAGGTAAAGCCCTCTAAATTGTCCCCAGGAAGATGATCATGCTGAATCTTAAAACTTCCAAGCCCTTTGGCAGACATGTTCAAAATAAATGAGATGCTCAAGAAATGCTTCTGAGTCATTTTGTACTTGGGAATGTTTTGTGTGCCTCTCTTGCTGTTTCTGCTACATTGTACCGTGGATGATACCAATAGCATTATCATGTTTTATATACACGTTCGTTCTAAACAGTGCGTTCTAGCTAATAGTTCAAAGTCTGCTAACAGTATAACATGCTAACAAGGGCACCCAGCCAAACACAACTAGCATGACTGACCCCGTGATTCTGCTTAGAGGAAAGCTAGCAATACATAGTAGCTGGTACCTTTGCAGTTAGATCGAAACAACCCTTTGGCTCTACAATTTTCTCCAGGACAAAGCATTTGATCCCTGCACTGCTGACATATTCGTACACCACCCCATGCTCCAAATGGGTGTTGTCCACAGTCAGGCTAATGAGGGGTGTGTCTTCACCGAAGATCAAAGGAGAGCTGAGGGGCGACGGTGTCAGGACTGGAACCAGAAACAAAGGCAAGTCACTTGCTGATACACTGACATGCAAAAGTGCATGCAAGCATGTGTGCATGTGCACACCCACCCACTCACCAAGAAAATACAGTGCATTGAGTTCTGTTCAAGCTACAAACACCTGACACCTGGCAGGGAATATCAAATGGGAGGTCAAGTTCATTTGTTCTGTGTCCTTCAGGAAACATCTTGCAGCTATTGTTCCAACTTGCAGTTCATGCCCAGATTCCTCCTGACAGGTACAGCTGTACCCGTAGGGATTCTCCACCATCCTTCCAGAGAACAGCTTTACACTCCGGTCAAAATGAGTCTCACCAGAGAACCGGTGAGGAGCATCTCCTGGTGGCCTGTTCTTACCTTTTACTGGACCACAAGGAGGAAGGGAGGGAGATATTTCGATATATTTTCATTTTACATAAAGAAACAGACAGTATGTGGTAGAAATGAATGGTGGGGGGTCTGATTATGCTTAGAACATAGCCCTGTGGATGCTTGGCACAGGCACAGGAAGAGTCCTGCTGATGTGAACGTGGAATAAAGTGCAATTCTGCATGGACCAGGGTATCTGAATCTTCCCCTGAAGGGTTAAACTGTGCCACCCCAAAAAATCAGGCCCATGGCTTTGTTAAGCTTTGCTTAAGTGTTCTGGTAAGAATATATGGTGCATTTGTTCTAGGCAAAACAAACACAGTAAATGAGATGGGGCCCACAAAACCAAAACATCAAATGGTGCCAGGATGTCTCAGATGAAGAACCTCTCTCCTCATCTTTTAGCCTGTTGTTTGCATCTCCGCTCTGCAGCTTACTCTTGAGTGCCAGGAAATCACATCCTGTGGTCCCTAGCTCCAGTCTGTATCCTTTGCAGGCCCCGTTGAGTACCCACAAGCCAAAAGCATGTCACTCACTACACATGGCACAGGAGACGGTTCATTCCATGAAACGTCTTTTCGAGTGTGATGGATGTTGATTCAAGTCTCACATGATGTGTAATTAGGCTGGTTTGTGGCTTGCCGTCACAGTTACCAGCCGAACAACACCACTTGGAACATGCTTTTACAGTGTGCAACTCCCCAGTCATTTATTGTAGAGCACAGCAGTCAGCAGACAATAAAAAGCAGATGTATGTAGAGTGTGTTTTCCTCACTTACCTAGTTGTGCGACACTGATACTTAGAGAGATTCCCTAAGGCACCCGCAATAAGCAAGCAACCCACAATTATCTACTCTTATCTTCTGTCCACAGTGGAAGACATTCCTTTCTGTCAAGGGCCACAGCTGTTTGATTTCTCATCCCAGTTTTATGGTCCTTGAGCAAGTATCTGGGAGGCCTTAGTTTGTTAGAGTGTTTTGCTAAAATGAGAGATTCCTATAGCAATAAATGTATTTCACAGGTCTGTTGCCTTTTGTCCTTCTTTGGAATCAAAGTGTACTGGCTCTCCTACCTTCATGAAAAATGTCAGACTTTCCTTTACCTGATTCCTGATGGCCTTTATGAAGGGGATCCAGTTCTGCACTCTCTTCCAATAAGAGGTCTCCCTTAGTGGACTCAAAGGGGCTGCCATTCACATATGCACTACCTGCTGACTGCTGAGCCCTGTCTTCTTCAGCATCTTCATGTGTTCTGTAAACCCACTGGTACAGTCCCTGTCAAGAGAGCAGGAATGATAAGAAGCACTACCCTCAGGCACAGCATTAGGGTTTTGCTCACTCCCTCTCTGCATTGCTTTTAGCATTCTGGGGATGCAACAAGCTACTGTGGAATATTTTTAGGTCCTCGTGGCTATTGTCGCATATATGGTATTTGAGGGCTGAATTTAGTCTACTGGCAATTAAAGCCTTGATACATCCACATCCTGAAGAGCCAGAGGCTTGAGCTAAACACCAAGATAAAAACACCTGGGGGGAGAGGGTGGGACTTTGAATCCAGATGTGAATCTTCTAGTTGATCCCTGTCTCCAAAATGGACAGAAGTAGACTTCCAAATATAACTCTCCCTCATCCTCACATTGGGAGTGTATACAATCTGGATCTAGGTTGGGGTTCAAATCTGTAGCTACAGCCTATTCAGCTACTGGGGGAAAGACTACAGTTGATGCTCATTTGCAGCAATACCTGGTAAGTGAACAACCTCTTACCAGCAACATTTCCCTTGGGAACATTTTCTTTGCCATGAAATCAGATGAAATTCCATGTAACATCAGTAGTCACTTAGGAGCAACAGAGCACTGGGGCACTAACCTGTTGCTACTAAAAGGGACTGACTGTATTTAATTGTGTACAGGCTAGGACACTTGTGATTCATAGATATTTTACAATTATCGGCTACCTTCTGATTTTGCTTTCAACCTACGTAGTTTTCTTACTTGCACTGGATTTGGTGTGACTCAAACAGATTTTTTTAAGGGTTTAGTTTGGGATATTTGAGAAGCATAAGAACATATTAACTTCCTCCTCCCCTCACCCCACTGCCCTTAAAAAATGTTTTAAATTTCCACATTCATGCTCTTACCAGTGACTCCTGCCTGTTCCTGTATGCTGTAAAGTGCTCCAGAACATCCTTGTAACTTTGATTCATGACATTATTCCCATTAACTTTCAAAATACACTGTCCTGGGTGGAGTCCTACTGCTGCAGCCTCTGAACCTGAAAAAGAATCAGGCAAGAGAGTTGTTCGGACAGCACAGCGATTTGTGAACTATGGAGAAGATCCAGAGAACAGAGTGAAAAGAGGAGCGGGGGGACAACAGGGAGCACTCATGTGGTCTTACTACTACGTGACTTCGAGAAGTTTGAGGAAGAGGTTATAAAATAGTCTGTATGTAACAAAAAGCACTGGGAACAAGAGAGTTTGCCTAAACCTAGATACAGTTGCTGCCAAAAGCAAATGAAAATCTCATGGGGAAAGCTGTCTTTCACGAATATTAGTCTTTCCTTTCTGAGCTTGTGCTCACATTGATTAGGGTAAATTTGTACAGCAATACAGTTTGCAGCTTGTTGCTTGTTAATTAAAATAATCTGAATATTTACCCATCAGGCAATTTCCAAGGGCCTACATACCAGACTGGGGTGTTAATTCCACCAGCACAAGTCCAGAGTCTGGCTAAAGTCCACACTCGTGCTACTGAGTTTTAGAACAGAATCTCACTTCTACGTGTCTACATTTAACATCATTATTAGTTATTTTTTAAGCAAAGTTATCCAAGATTCACCATTTTATTCAAAGTATAAATGGCACTTTTTCTGGTAAAAATCTAAGAAATGAAAAGCTTCTAAGCAAGGACACTGCAGAGATGCTGCAGAATTTTAGTTCTTACTAATAATGATTATTTGTGCTAGTAGGAAGGTAAGAAAGAAAAAAACGGCCTGTTTCAGGAAGCCATGGGATGAGGAGGCTATTCATGCTTTTCTTGAATGCAATGTACATGCTCATACTCGTACTGAAGGAAGGAAGTGGTGTACAACTGAAAGGTCTTGCTCTTCACTTACACCAAAAATAAAAGCAAGCTCAAAACTTTGTTTGTGGCTTAGATCACATTTCCTGTACAGCACTAACAAACATGTCTCCGTTGCCCTCTTTATTTCCCCCTTTCAAAAGAACGAGGGGGTCCAGCTTGCCTTTAATTGATCCTGGTGTAATTCAGGAATGATTTCACTGAAGTCAGCAGTGCAACCTGGTCTGAAGGAAAAAGCAGCTCTCCCTGGCCTGCCTCAGTCTGTCAAGTTTATAAAGATGACTTGGTCCATCAACCTGAGAAGACAGGAGTGGCCCCTAAACGCCAACCTATAATGGCTCAAACAATGATGGTGCTTCCTTCAACAGCTCTTCTACAGATAACAGCCTGCAATGTTAACAGATTTCTCCTGGCTCTGACCAAAGGAATTTCTTGCTTCCTTTGGGTGAGGGCAGCCACCCAATGCCTAGCTTTTAGACTGAAGCAATACTTAAGCGGTACGTTAGACCAGAAACTCTGTGGGGTGGTGGCTATCTTTCCACTCCGTCCTTAGACAATACTCAGCACAACTGACTTCTGGTGCATGACTGTGGTGTGTAGGCACTACAGCAATTCTGATACTGGATAATAAGCAGAAACTAATTCAAATGTAATGTGGGGTGTTTTTAAGGCCATCGGGTGGATGATAATATAATATGGCTCCATCGCTGTCCTTAGTTGGTTGTATGTTGAGCCATAGCTATACCACACTCTCTTTGCATACCTCTGCCGACAGCATGGACGTATGGTGGCCCTGCTCCCCGTATCTGGAAGCAAAGTGCTTCGTGGCAGTCTGGGATCTTAATAATCCTGCAGAAAGACACAAGAGAAAGGAAAACAGCACCTCAATTCAGACCTCTAGAACCACGTGCGTGGCGATCAATGTGAAAGATCTTTCCCCTGAGTTTTATCCCAGATTGTTTTAAACAACGTTGCAATAGACTTCAAAGATTCAAGAAGGGATGAGTTAACCACATAAAGTAGCCTCTGACCTACCAGGAATTTATTTTGCTGCCTCAGCCACATTTCTGTGGAATTATATTTTAAGAAGATTTCCTGTAGGATTAAATCTTGGAGAATAGTGTTCTGCGTATCCACAGGACTGATATGGCATGGGAAACCATAGCACAAGCTTCCTTCGAACTTTCCAACCTGTTCAGCTGCCTCTAGACTGAGGGAATAGATCACCTGGCAAACCCACTCACTTCCTGGCCTCCATATTACAGTGACAATGTGGATTTCAATTGGATTATATGATATGGACATCTGTCTCCTAGGAACTGGACTGAGATTCACCATTCATGTGAAATACCACCAAACTAACACCTGCTGGAAACATCCTCTGGCCTTGGGCTGGATTTGAATAGGTGGCCAAGTGATAAAATACACCATCTGCAACAACCAGACTGCTGAACTATCCGGCTGTCATGTTCCCAATCTTGTTTTGTTGATTAGGTTAACTGCAGAAGTGTGCGCCTTACAGGATGTGGCAGGAATATAACATAACACACCATCATCTGTATTTTCCTTTTCAACTAATGTAAAACGTAAGGCAAAAACAAACAGTGAAGCACACAATATTTAAGCTCTCATTAACACAGAGCTGACTTCTTTTACTAGGCGGTTTTCCAAACTGTGTTTTCGATCTGGAATGTCGTCACAGTTTATGAAAATTAAAAACTAAGGAGAGGTGCAGCATACGTCTCAATGCAGAGTACAGGAAAACTGAGAACATGGTGGGTTGCCTGCAGAAAGACTACAAAACCAGATTAGTGAAACAACAGCACAGTGTTTTGTGGATAGGAGGCCAACAGGACAAAACTCCTGTAATTCTCAACTTAAAAGGAATTATTTCTGCTAAGGTTTCTCAAGGCTCCAGAGACCCACAGATCTTGCTGGCTTGCTTCCTTAGCATTCAGAGTGAAAGGGCAGGTTGTATACCACAGGGAACAAAGACCAATAGTGTTATCAGCTGTGTGAATTAGCTGAACCAAACTCCAGCCTTGATATTTTTGGGGCACTCTGGTGCAACTGATGGGATATTCTGAGTCAATTAAAGTCTGATACATCTTTTAAATACATTACACCTGTAAATTAAAAATAATTGGTGCAGGAAATTCCTGGTTGCTCACTTCTACAAATAAATTCTTTTCCAGGCTGACATAAAGGCAGCTGTGCTTCTTAACATCAGGATCTGGCCCATGCTTTTAAAACGAATGTTTAGATTATGGACTACAGTTTTATGATGGCAGAGGGTTTAAGTCGATGACAAATTCTTGGCTTCATAGTTGGACAATACATGGGATCTTAATGGGACCCAAATTTATTATGGACCAAATATACTAATAAGAACTGAGATGGAAACCAGTCCAATAAGCAGAAGTACCCTGCATTCTTTTCTTTCAAGCAGAGACCTAGTGCTGGGTAGTCGTCTGCTGCTGACAAAGTTACGTTCCTTGTAACTCAATTTCATTTGTGCACAGGAAAACGAAGAGTTAATTCCTAATTTACACAGAATACTTCCCATCTTTTTTTCAGAGATGCAAGGATCATTAACAAGCATGATTTGTGACTTTCTAAATCTATTTTAGTGGCCACATTTGTTCTCTAATTGAATTGCAGCATCCATTGTGTAAAATGTTTATGCAGTTTTTATCATTACAGACAGTAATTAAATTAATGTCTCCAGATAATCTCTTCTGCCTGTCCCTCAGGCACTTACTCTTTAGTTTTAGTGGCCACCAGTAGCCTAAGTGGCTTCCGAGAGCAGAAAGACTGGTTTAAGATGGTCTCGACCTCTGGAAACGGGCGCAGGAATACCAAGTCCTCGTTAATGGAGTAAATCTTCCTTCCTATCTGCAGGCCAGCCATCTGCAAATGGAACATGAACACAGGTCTGTGAGTTCAGGAAGCAGACTGCTAGATGCAACCTCGTTTGCAGCCTGCTACAATGACTGACCTCCAGTACTGTATACAAAGCTTTTCTTCCATTGTCTGGGTCACCAAATCACTTGTCAGCTACACTTAGCACTTCAGTGTGTCCACAACTACAAAATAATCAGTGATGCCACTTACATTCGAATAACACTTTACATGTCTGCGGCACTTTTGAACAGAGGGTCCCAGACTTGCCTCCCTAGCCCCCGTGAGGCAGGGAAGTAGTACAGCCTACATCTTAGTAAGCTGAGGCACAGAGGCAGAGAACACAACTTTTAAATTATTAAACTTAGACACACAAAACACAGTTAGCCAGTAAGTGGGGCCCAATTTACACAGTTTATGTAGGTGACTTGGCAAGTGATGTTAAGAGAAATTAGATCCATTTGACAAGGTCTGTTGTCTTGGGCTATGTATGTTTGAGCTCATCCTAAACTTGCCCTGAAGTTTTGGAAATTGGAGTTCAAAATACAGTCCAGAGTCCCAAGAATTTTTTTTTTTTTTTTTAAATCAAAAGTTAGGAAATACAAATATCTGTTTTTTGTTCTTTGCAGCACAAAGGCAATAGGAGTTGGTCCACTAAAAATGTGTGTTTTTTTCTGGCAAATAAACTACTAAAGAGAAAAAGCATCAAATGCTCCCTTTGGTTGATTTTTTACATATGTTCAAAACAGCATACAAACAACACATCCTTCTCTTCTACTCTTTTATCTTTGTACCTGGCAAACCTTGATTCATCCTAATCCTACACCTCCTATATCTAACATACCTAAAATTAGCATAGCTCTTTTTAACCCTTGGTAACTGGTGGTTTCTCCTTCTCAGCTGCAATAAATTCTGGGAATAAGCCTGCTAAATGAACTCCTGATGAATAAATACACTCCAGTGGGCTGCAAAGAACTGCAAACATTGCATTTTTGCAGGTTAATTTGTCTGCCACAGTGTATAATTGGTCTTTAAAAAAGTCCTTTTTTATTAATCATGAATAATATATAAAATGGGTAGTGTGAAAATGCATACAAGTGCCTTTGTTTTCATTTAGAATAGTCTTTTTAATATTTTTGTTTATAATTACTTGTAGCTTTGTAGCCAAGTGGTCGTTTCTTGGACATGGTTTGTTCAAGTACTAGACACATGCTTGTCATTTATTTGTTCAAATAAAACAGTAAACACACCTCCCAGAAAAGTAATCTTAGAATCATAGAAAGTTAGGGTTGGAAGGGACCGCAGGAGTCATTTAGTCCAACCCCCTGCTCAAAGCAGAAATATCCCCAACTAGATCATCCCACCCAAGACTTTGTCTAGTCAGATCTTAAAAACCTCCAAGGATGGAGATTCCACAACCTCTTTGGGTAGCCTGTTCCAGTGCTTTACTACCCTCCTTGTAAGAAGGTTTTTCCTAATATGTAACCTAAACATCCCTTGCTGCAACTTGACACCACTGTTTCTTGTTCTGTTATCTGCCACCACTGAGAACTGTCTAGCTCCATCCTCTTTGGAACCACACTTC